GTCGTCTCCTGCACCACCATGTTGTATGCGAAGGTCACATACCGAAGAACGGCGTCCAACGTCTTGTGTTCTACATCGACGTACATTGACAGCATGTCGGCGATCGTCTTGTTAAGCCACTCCGTGAGGCTGTTGGTCTGTGGGTGGTACGCTGTCGTCCGGCGGTGGTTTGTTTGGCTGTATGCCAAGATCGCTTGAGTTAAGTTGGCAGTGTATGCCGTTCCTCTGTTGGTGATAAGGACCTCCGGGGCGCCGTGACGTAGGACGATATTTTCGTCGAAGAACTTAGCTACCTCGGATGCACTGCCTTTTGGAAGGGCTTTTGTCTCGGCGTAGCGGGTGAGGTAGTCGGTAGCTACCACGATCCACTTGTTTCCGAAAGGCGACGTCGGGAACAGCCCCAGTAGGTCCACACCAATCTGCTGGAAAGGTCGGCAAGGTAGATCAATTGGCTGCAGAAGTTCCGCTGGCCTTGTCGGCGGTGTCTTGCGTCGCTGACAGTCCCGGCATGTCCTCACATAACGAGTGACGTCGGTGGTAAGACGTGGGCAGTAGTACCTTTCTTGTATCCTCGCGAGTGTGCGAGAAACACCAAGGTGCCCTGCTGTCGGATTGTCGTGCAGGGCCTGCAGGAGTTCTGGTCGCAGAGCTGAAGGCACCACAAGGAGGTACTTAGGTCGAAGCGGTGAAAAGTTTTTCTTTTGTAGAAGACCGTTTTGTAGAAAGAACGATGCAAGTGCGCGCTTGAATACCTTCGGGACTTCGGCAGTCCTGCCTTCGAGGATATTCTATTAAGGCCTTAAGTTCCGGGTCGGCCCGCTGTCGTTCAGCGAAGTCGTCTGTAGCTATCGTTCCCAAGAAGTAGTCGTCATCCGGATCGTCGGGTAGCGGTTGGTCGACAGGCGCACGAGAGAGACAGTCGGCGTCGGAGTGTTTTTTGCCGGGCTTGTAAATGACAGTAATGTAATATTCTTGAAGTCTCAGGCTCCATCGTGCGAGGCGACCTGAAGGGTCCTTCGAGGTGGCTAGCCAACACAAGGCGTTGTGGTCGGTCACAACTTTGAAGGGCCTGCCGTAGAGGTAGGGGCGAAATTTCGACGTAGCCCAGATGATGGCAAAGCACTCCTTTTCTGTTGTGGAATAATTTGCTTCTGCTTTGGATAGCGATCGGCCGGCGTAACTAATAACACTTTCAAGTCCGTCAGCCCTCTGCACAAGAACGGCGCCAAGACCTACGCTGCTTGCGTCAGTATGTATTTATGTCTCGGCGAATTCGTCGAAATGGGCAAGTAACCGAGGCGTCTGGAGGCGATGTTTAAGCTCCTGAAAAACGTGTTCCTGTGGCGTTTCCCACTTGAACTCCACGTCGGCCTTGGTAAGGTTAGTGAGAGGATCGGTGATGCGGGCGAAGTTTTTCACGAACCGCCTATAATAGGCGCACAGGCCCAGAAATCGGCATACGGCTTTCTTCTCAGTGGGCGAGGGGAAGTCAGCGATGACGGCTGTTTTCCGTGGATCGGGACAAACTCCAGACTTGCTGATAACGTGCCCCAGAAACAAGAGCTCCTCATACGCAAATCTGCACTTTTCTGGCTTCAGTGTGAGTCCGGACGTCTTGATGGCTTGAAGTACAGCTTCAAGGCGCCGAAGATGCTCGTCGAAACTCGAGGAAAACACGACGACGTCGTCCAAGTGAACAAGGAAAGTCTGCCACTTCAATCCTGCCATTACTGTATCCATAATGCGTTGAAAAGTTGCAGGCGCTGAGCGAAGGCCGAAGGGCATCACCTTAAACTCGAAGAGGCCGTCCGGTGTTATAAGCGCCGTCTTCTCTCGGTCTCTTTCGTCGACTTCGATTTGCCAATAGCCAGTCTTAAGGTCCATTGACGAAAAGTACTTGGCGTTATGGAGCCGATCAAGTGCGTCGTACATTCGTGGGAAAGGATACACGTCGTTTCTTGTGATTTTGTTCAGGCGGCGATAATCGACGCAGAAACGTAGGGCCCCATCCTTTTTCTTCACTAACACCAAGGGGGACGCCCATGGACTCTTGGACGGTTGGATAATGTCATCCCGCAGCATTTCATCAACTTGTCTCTTCATGGCCTCACGTTCTCGCGTCGAAACCCTGTACGGACTCTGACGGAGTGGTCTGGCATTTTCATCGGCTATGATGCGATGTTTCGTGATTGGGGTCTGCCGAATTTTCGATGACGACAAAAAGCAATCTTCGTATTGCAGGAGCCGGGCCTTGAGCTGTTCTTGCTTATCGTTCAGAAGTTTGGGATTGACGTCGAAAGCTATGGGAGGGGCTTGGTTCCTCTGAGCAGGTTCCGCAGAATCGGCGAGGGCGAAAGCACTGGTGGCTTCGACAATTTCTTCGATGTATGCGACCGTTGTTCCTTTGTTCACTTGTTTGTACTCATTGCTGAAATTCGTGAGCATAATCATTGCTTTGCCTCCCCACAGCTCTGTGATTCCTCTTGCGACGCAAATATTTCGGGTGACCAACAGATGGTGACTGCCTTCAACGACGCCTTCCAAGTCAGGTGATTTAGGAGCGCCTACTGAAATAATGACGCTTGAGCGAGGCGGAATGGTGACTTGTTCTTCCAGCACATTCAAGGCATGGTGTCCTGACGGCGTGCGCGGTGGTAGTGCTTCTTCTGTGGATAACGTTATCGACTTTGTTTTGAGGTTGATGACAGCACCATGGAGGCATAAGAAGTCCATGCCAAGGATGACATCTCTCGAGCAACGCTGTAGGACTACGAAGCCTGTAGGATAAATACAGCCGTTAATGGTGACTCTCGCTGTGCAGATTCCTGCAGGCGTTACGAGATGACCTCCGGCTGTGCGGATTTCAGGGCCTTTCCAAGCTGTCCTAACTTTCTTTAACTTCGCGGCGAACGACCCATTGATGACAGAATAGTCGGCTCCAGTATCGACGAGAGCGGTCACACTGTGGCCGTCGATAAGAACGTCGAGGTCGCTAGTTCGCCGTCTCACATTACAGTTAGGGCGTGGCGTCGGGTCACGGCTGCGTCGGCTTGTTCCGCTGCTTCCATGTTGCGTCGTCAGGCCACCTTCGGTAAGTGAGCTTTCGCCGTCAGGGCTTTGCCTGGTTGGCGTTGTGTTCGGAAAGCTCCGTCGCGGCGTCGTCGTCATCGGAGGATCTTCGGTAGTTCGTCGCACAGCAACCGCACCTCCACCGGTTGCTGCCCTTAGTTTCCCGGATACGGGCTAAGAGACCGGCCCCGCGTTGTGCCAGAGTACTGCCGGTGGTGCGGTGACGTGCGGCGGCTGGGCGACGGCGAACGCGAAGGGCTTCGTGGTGTCCACCGAGTTCCTGTCAGGTAGTCGGCGATGTCACGTGGTCGTTCTCCTGGCTGTGGACGCGGTGCATTGACGGCGAAGCCATGCAGTCCCATCTGTCAGTACTGGCAACGGCGGTATGTGTGTCCGGCCTCGCCGCAGTGGTAGCAGAGCGGGCGATGGTCAGGGGTGCGCCAGACGCCAGTCTTCCTCGGTGCACTGCGCTGGGCCGCTGGCGAACGGTATGACGTCGGTAGGGGTGGTGGCGGCGGTGACGTCTGTCGACGGAAGTGCGATGGGGCGGCGTTTTGGCGTGGACGGGGAGGAGCGCTGTGGTGCAGTGCAGCGGCGTAGCTCATAGCTTGTGGCTCGGGCAGCGGTGCGTGGAGAATTTGAAGCGATTGCTGAACTTCTTCTCGCACAATGTCGGCGATTGAATCCACTTGAGGCTGCGCCGAAGGCAACAGCTTGCGCAGCTCTTCCCGCACGATCGCTCGGATCGTTTCACGCAGGTCTCCGGAATTACTGGCTTGAGCAGCAGCGCAGTCTGCAGTCAGGCGACGATTATATTGTCTGGTGCGCATGTCCAGGGTCTTTTCGATAGTGGTCGCTTCGGCTACAAATTCTTGGACGATTTTCATTGGGTTTTCTCATCAGTCCCGCGAAGAGCTCCTGTTTGACCTCTCGCATGAGGAAACAAACTTTTTTCTCCTCAGGCATGTCTGGGTCAGCGTGACGGAATAGTCAGGTACTGGGATCGGTACCCAGCACCTGCACCAGATGTCACAGGTTCATGACGTGGCCGAAGACAGGAGACTTCGTGTTGGGATTTAACTGTTTATTAGGGCGAACCTGTGCCCGGTAAACGGAAAGTCCAATTACAGCAGCAGTCTCGCACAGATAGCAGTCTCGGACTGATACAAAGAGAAGTTTATAGAGAACTTCATACTCAAAAGAACTTTTTACATCATTTTATACATACAGTTCTCGTTTAGACACCCCTCTTGTGCACGCGGCGAACGGAGCGTCGGCCTTCGATCAAAAGCTGACAAGCGGCGAAGCGTGTCGGCATTTATACTTTTGCCGTCGAATGTTCTAGCGTTATCGCTGGCGGCGCGGTTTGCGCTGAGAATCGTGTGGTGTTTTGGGGCGATAACAAAAACTTGGGAAATGGAATGTGGCATTATATTGTAGCGGAAGCTGCTAAGCACCACCGCATGCGGTGGTGCTTAGCAGCTTCCGCTACACTATATATATATATATATATATATATATATATATATATATAATATATATATATATATATATATATATATATATATATATATATATATATATATATATACACACACCAACTTGCGGGCACGTCATCGGAAAACTTGAGTCGTTTTCGCGTTTTGCCATGAATCAATGCAACGAGCCAATGTGAGTGCGTGACCTGCACTGCACCGAATGCAAACCACTGTACGTTTATTCAAACTGTATTCGTAACTGCCAGAAATGCATCGTCCTTGAGATAGATAGATAGATAGATAGATAGATAGATAGATAGATAGATAGATAGATAGATAGATAGATAGATAGATAGATAGATAGATAGCCTCCGCGCTGCTCCTTATCCGTATTTTTATTCATTATGTGTCTAATTCGTTCGTCTGTTGGCCATTGCACATCGATTCCCGCAGCTCCCGGTGCTCTCAGGTTACAGCAGTCGCGGGGAACGCTCGAAGATAAGCAGCGTGGCTACTTGGCCAGGTCGCATGCAACCCCAGTCGAAGCACGTAAGCCAGACTTCGACCAGCATGGTGACCCAATCAACCGTGCCCAATGGCGGTGAGTTTCCACATGTAAAAAGTGTTATTAAAACGAAATCAATTCTTAAAACTGAAAAAAAAATTATTAGAACACAGTGAGTTGCGGCACATTCATGTCTTCAAGTATATGCTTCAGTCTATAAGAAAGCTTCTCTAAACCTCCTCTGAAAATACAAAGGAGCGCGTTATTCTATCGTGTTATTGCATTTTTGGACGTACCTGAATGGCGAGAAAACAGTGACGCACGCACACGAGCGTTCGTTTGTTTTATGTGCGAGAGACTTTAGGGGTTCGTCTTTCCGGCATCTGTTGTCGTCACGGTGTGCCGTGTCGTCAGGGTCTACCATAAAAACGAGTCTGTGCCACGAAAATTGAGTACACCTCACTACTCGCCACCAGTACACTCAGAATGAAGAAGACAACAAATAGCCCTACGACGTTGGTGGAGCTTAAACACTTTCCCCTACATGCCGTAGAGGTCTGAAACCAGAAATGTAGAGGATAAGAAGATGAGGAAGCACTCCTTGGGGCAAGCTGCATTCCGCAGAGCTTTCTGACGACGTTAGTGGAGCGGGAGCGCCCTTTCCTATACGTGCCCCGTTTCAGGCTTGATTTGATTGATTGATATGTGGCGTTTAACGTCCCGAAACCACCATATGATTATGAGAGGAACCGTAGTGGAGGGCTCCGGAGATTTCGACCATCTGGGGTTCTTTAACATGTACCCAAATCTGAGTACGCGAGCCTACAACATTTCCACCTCCATCGGAAATGAAGCGACCGCAGCCAGGATTTGTTCCCGCGACCTGCGGGTCAGCAGCCGAGTACCTTAGCCGCTAGGGCACCGCGGCGGGGCCTGTTTCAGGCTTGGCACCAATACTGGCCCATAAAAGAAGTCTCTCACAAATCACCGTATGCTTCGCCTCTCGCGGGTTTCACGTCAGTGAGGCTGAGTGCTTTAATCGTCCCGCTTTCTCTGTGTGCCTTCCGGCATCCTTGTTTTTCGAGCGTGTCCAAAAAAAAAGGCAGATCCCACGTACAGTGTAAATTGATTATATGTGAAGCACGAATGAGAAATGTTGATATGTCACTTTAAAGTCAGCATAATGGTACGAGGTGGATGTATATGTTGCCGTACATGACTTCCGTGTCATGATTACCATGTTTATGTGTCGTTTACCTTCGTCATCTATTCACGTCACATGATACCAAATTTAGTATATGTGGAGCTAGCGAAACGGCCGCGAGCAAGCTATGAGCGTGGTATGTTGTCACGTTCTTACATGACACGCGTGTCAGGATTATCATGCTTGCACCAGTCATAGATTGAGTCATCCATTGACGCCACGTAACACAAAATTAGGTATATGTAGAGGTGGAAAAACGGCTGCGAGCGCATCACGAAGGGCGGAATATACTCCAACGTAGCGTTGACGCGCGAGCACTCTGGGCACAGCGACGCAACGTTAGAAAAACGTAATCACTCTATAGTCTGACGCCAGGTGCGACAAGCGTCCGTGCGCGCGGCCCGACAGCAACCGGCGCAAAACGCGACATGCTGCATTTCGCGCCGATGTGTTACCCAGACAACGCTGCGTCACCCTCTTTTCGTGACGGAGGGACACCGGACGCACTGAAACGCGCATGCGTCAAAGCAACGCAGCGTGACGCACGCCTGCGAATATATGGAAGGACCGGGCCTCGCGTGTCAACACCGGCGTGACGCGATGAAATGAACGCCGGCAAGCACGCGCACCACGTCACGTCGAAATGTATTGGCTTTTTGACTGTGGCATGTAGTCATGTTCTCACTAGACACGGATCTCATGTTTATCATGTTTGCACCAGTCACATACCTTCGCCATCCATTCACGTACTGTAATACCGCTTGGTATATGTGACGCTAGCGTAACGGCCGTGAGCGCATCATGAGCGTGGCATGTAGTCATGTCGTTACATGACACGCATGTCGTGATTTTCATGTTAGGGTTTGTTGCTTTTGTTCGCCATGCAATAATGTCATACCATACTAGTTTTGTAACATGCCATGTGAACGAAGCCATCGCAAGAGCTGCAGGACCATGAAATGTAAATCATAATATTCATGACATACATGTCATGATTTTCATGTAATGACTAGTCAAATATGTTCCTCATACAGTTATGTTATGCCATACCAAGTTTGGTCTCGATACCATATATAACGGCCAGGGGAGCTAAAATTCGTAGGCGGCTAGATAGATAGATACGCTCAAAGTTGCCGTAGTTCGCTAAGAAATGCTTCACATATAATGCAGCATGCTTCTCCAACTAGCCCAAGAAACAGCCCTCCTCTGCACATATTCTCCTTCGTTTTGGCCCGATTCGTAACGTCAGCAGTCCGTTCAGATGACGTCACGAATAAGTGAGTTCTTGATTGGTCCATACACTAGGAAGATTAGTTGCGAATTGTCACCTACCCTGCTTTGCCATGCAGCCACACGCCTTGTCTCGCATGATCATCGTGGGCGATGAACAAATTTCACTTCGTTTTGTGTTTTTCCAATGACGAAAACCGACATAACAGTGTGAATGGCATCTTGCGCAAGAAAAAAAATGAACGAAAAGGAAGAGAGCACACAGAGGCCCAGTCTGTGCTCTTACTTCTTGGCTGTTTTTTTTTTGTGTGTGTGCAAAATGTCATCCAAATTGATATACCAACTCACGCAACGCTTGCTTCTTCTAAACGACATAACAGCGTTTAGCCGAAAAATGTGAAAATCCTGAGATGTTCCACGCTAGGCGTTCTACCATGGCGGACACTTGTCGGCCACAAGTGGCTACGGTGCTCGGCCGCTGCCCTTGCGGTGGTCGCGTTTCCATGGAGGCAAAATAGTAGGGGCCCCGTGTAGTGTGTGATGTCAGCGCACGTTAAATAATAACAGATGGTCAGAACTTCCGGAGCCCTCCACTGTGGTGTACCTAGTGATAACATCATGGTTTTGGGACGTAAAACCTTAGCTAATACAGCGAAAGCTTCATATGGCTAGGAGAAACGTAAAAACTGCTTTTCAGTGGTGTCTTGAGCGGCCTCCATTGGTTGCCTGATCAGTTACGTCATTCTCAGCGTACTACTTGACCATGCGCGCCATTGGTTGCGCTGTGAGGGACGTCGTCCATCTCGTCACAGCCATGGCACCGATCTCGTCTGCACCGGTTTCTCCTGAAACCTTGCACATGGCTATGACACGGACAACTCTGGAAGACAGTGAAAACGTGAGAGAGCTTGCATTCACTGGGCCGACGGTGCAGCCCTGGCAAAAAAAAAAAGACCCGGTGGGTCGAGTGCCGGCAGCCTTTCCAGCCGCGATAAATGGCGAACGGGAATGCAAGCGGCGGTGTCGGGCGCATCCTGGAAACCACGCCTCCGAGTTAGCTCGCGATGTCAAACGCTTGAAACAACGCCGCGCCGAGCAATGAATGCGGGGTTCTAGAAGAAGAGAAAAATGCACTAATTTATGTCTGCCTATAGCCGACAAGGCGCTCTGCCTGCGCCGAACAAGTGGCGTTGGAGTGCCAACGTTGGAGTGACAACACGTTTGATGTGGCAAACACCCGCTTTCAGCAGGGTTTCTCCAGCGGCACTTTGGATTGATCTGTGGTGCTTGTGACCGTCAGTGGTTCGAGAACAACCACCGTGATTAACGCATTGCGAAACGCACTTAACTGCTCATTACGCTCCTCATGACCGTGAGGCGCGACGTGCTTCACGATCAGGCGAGGCAAAGTGTGTGGCATGTGAAGTAAAGGCTGTGGTAAACCCAAGCCAAACGTGTGTCTATGACCTCATTGAGAAGCACGAACACGTAACCAATAATTGTGAAAGGCTTCAATTGCCACGTCGGCTTGAACCAACTGCTGAACACCGGGGCCCCACGTTTCATCTTTCGCTGGTTAGTCATTCGTACAGAGTGCTTGGTTGGCGGTGATTTCATTATTATTTATCACGTGTTATAAGAAATTTACGAAGAAGAGACAGTGCCAGTAAGAGCCTATAGTGAAGGCGACAAAGAAACCAGCATCTCGTCTTTTTACTCAGAGAGGTTTAGGGGCACTTTAAAGGTGGTGAAGAGAATTCAGAGGAGTACGCATAGGCACTCGGATTGATAAGTTTCTTGATCCTGTTGTCCCCTTGCCTAATAATTCGAATTGACATGATTTTAGTATATATAGTAGAGAAAATATACCGGATAAACTACATAATTTGCAGTAGAGTACTGAGTTCGGTAACACGTTCTTCGAAGTTCGACATTAGCATTCTTGCTTTAGGTGCATCTTTTGTTATTTCTTGCACTTATATTCTTTTTAAGAGTCACTGAAACGCTTACTTGCAGACTTGCATAAACGAAGAGCTGGGCGCTTGCCCTTTGTTTCACTAGTTTAATGTGTTTGCAAAACATTACAAACTATTTCGATGTTGAAACAAAACACTCGCTTTGTGTTCCTTTCGATGTTTCACAACCACGCCCGAGCTTCTACTCTAAAGTACTTGCGCATCTAAAGACATTCGCGGCTACAGCCATGCAGACACATAAAACTCCCCTAGACTCTGTTTCACCGTGTTCTTCGGTCTTGTTCCTCTTCTTTATAGCGAGAACACAATATATATATATATATATATATATATATATATATATATATATATATATATATATATATATATAAAGAAGAGAAGGGCGAAGTGAACTCGGAGATGAACTTTCATTGTTAAAGGGGGGCCTTGGCAACTGTGAAACCACATGAAATTCTACAAGGCATATTCTCTACAGACGTCGTCTGAAAAACGAGCTCGAACTTTAAAAGTTGGCAATCTAGCTGGAGAGCTCAGGCCGCATGGTTATCGTTTGCTTCATCGACTATCTCTATGTACGACTAGCGTTAGCAACGGTTTTTGTTTTGTTTCGCAGGCGGCATGTTACGAAAGCTTGCATTTCACGTCTCAGCTACGGATCTGGTCTCCAAGCGGGTGGTATTACCGGCCATACGCAGGACCGTCCTTTCGTTTCGCCTTTTGTAGCATGTTCATGGCGACGATTGCGCCTTGTGACAATTCGTATGCGGGGAGCGTTCACTTAAACTGATCAATAGTTTCATTCAGGTCACCCATGCTTCGACGTTCGTGCTGTTGGCATTTTCGTCGCCACCTACTTGTGCGTTTCCACGTCTCATGCTGCGTCAAAATGACTACGGATCTTTTCAAGTTTTTTTGTGTGTGTGTGAAAGACCCTAGAAACACCTCTTGGTACGGTAGAGCCTCCAGAGACGGTGCCAGAATCTCGGTAATACGGGAACATCCACGACAAGCGAGTTCTTTGGAGGCAAGGAGGGTACAAGTGCAGGCAAAAACTTCGAGAGGCTACCACCTCCCACTTAACTTCTCATGCACGTCGCAGTCGTCACTCCTGACAACATCACAGGAAGTAGTACGTGATGCTCCGAGGTGATTATTTGTTGATTGAGAAGAAAAATTTATAATATATAAATTTCGTAAGCAAGTGATGCCGTAACAAAAGTCTAAACAAGTAAAGTAAACACGCCTTCTTCTCCCATACCTTCTATTCATGAGTATACGCATAGAACAACTTAAAGGCAATAAAAAATAGGTTTCGCAAGTGAATTGACCAAACCTTTTCACTAAGACAAGCACTGTGTAAGCTTTGCAGTCCGAACTTCAAGAAAATTTCGAAGGAGGCGAAAATTTCTGAGGTCCGCGTAGTTAGATATAGGTGCATGTTAAGGAAACTCGGGTGGTTGAAATCTCCGAAGCCATCTACGGTGGCGTCTCTCATAACCATATTGCGGTATCGGCATGCTAAACTCAACAATTATTAGTATGCAGATTACGAAACAGCGACTGACGAGCACGCGGCTTGCTCGCTTCTGGTCGCAGTGCACACTTCGTAATCATCGACTGGTGGGTAGTTTAAACTAGACGAGGTCAGAGGAAGAAAATATCAACGCACTTAACCTGTATTACCTGTGTGAACTTGTGAGCAAGTAACCAATTTCGCAAACAGTCAGATCTCTTGAGAGGGGAACACTTCCTGGCGCAAGTCCCGTCAGTCGCAGTTCCAAGTCAAACATGTTCACTATACGTATTAACTAACCTTTCCGGCTTCTCTCTGAAAGAATAACAAAATACGGGTAAGGCGGTAACAAATAGCGCTAGACATAGGGTGGTACTAGATCGAATGACGGGCTGCTGGTAGTACGACAGACATCAGCGTCCTGTCCTTCTACCACCGTCCCGTGTCTAGCACTCTTTGTTCCCGTCTTAATGACGTAACCAACCAACCAACCCAGTTAGCTGCAATCTGGCGGTCCATGATACGGGTAATTAATGAAATGTCCTCACGCGTTGGCCGTGCAACCTCCTGCTTACGCAGACACAGCGGCTGGCATGGGAAGCAAGCTGTCCCCGCATCGTGGCCTCCTGGAAGCTACGAGTGCATTCGCAGCTGGTCCCGAAGAGTTATCGAGCGGGCTTCACATCTCCACCGCTGAAACGTCACTGCAGCCGTCAGGCGACGACACGGACGTTCAAGAGAACTCCTGCGTGTTGGTAAGAACCAATGTCCCGACTTAAAACTCTGCATGAGGAGGTACGGTACCTAGGGAATCTTTTGAGAAGCGCGCTATAATTAGGGTCGTCAATCGCTACCTTATACTCTAGCAGAAGTAAGAATGATAATGATACTACTACTGATAATGATAATGATACTACTACTACTACTACAACTACTACTACTACTTCTACTACTACTACTACTACTACTACTACTACTACTACTACTACTACTACTACTACTACTATAGTATACTAGTGCTGTTGCTACTACTACTACTACTGGTGCTGCTACTACTACTTTACTAGTGCTGTTGCTGCTACTACTACTACTACCACTACTACTACTACTACTACTACTACTACTACTACTACTACTACTTGTGGAGGCCCTAAATGATATTTCGTTGCATTGCATATTATGAAACCGCAGCCGGCACTTTTTTAGTTTGGATCTTGGGTATATAATCATGCCCCGCCACGATGGTCTAGTGGCTCAGGTGACCCGCAGGTCGCGGGATCGAATCCCGGCTGCGGCGGCTGCATTTCCGATGGAGGCGGAAATGTTGTAGGCCCGTCTGCTCAGATTTGGGTGCACGTTAAAAAACCCCAGGTGGTCGAAATTTCCGTAGTCCTCCACTACGGCGTCTCTCATAATCATATGGTGGTTTTGGGACGTTAAACCCCTACATATCATGAGTATGTATTCATTTATAATGTGCGATATTTAACTGCGGTAACGTAATAAACACCATTAGTACTGCAATAACATTTACGAGTATGAGTGCAAGCTCCATTACCGGCAGCTATGCTGCAAATACTGGCACTATGCGAAGACTGTAACAGCTACATGTCAAGACTGCTTATATAGTACGGACCTGTGCTCATACACTTGACAACGCTTTTAGTAAGGGCCCTTGCCATTTCTTTTTTTACAGGACGTAAGCAAGGCAGAAGACGGGAACACGGAGAGCAGGACGTTCGTTGCAGACGCAAGAAGTGCGCGAGGGACCATGGCCAACCACGAAGCTGACCGCGCATTGGTTGTCCCCGTGCCCGAAACGCGGCCGCTCCTGGAAGTGACCTGCGCCGCTTACACCGGAGGAAGGGAGGATGGTCAGGAGGAGTAAGCGATTCTGTTTGGCTTTAAGAAAATTTCTGCTGATATGCTGAGATGACTGCTGAAGTCTCTAACCCTTTGAGCGCGGCAAATAATAATAGAATATCACAAATGTTTGATCAGAGTCGCATATCGGTGGATACAAGATGCTAGAGATCCATGTGCTTAAATTTAGGTACACGATTTGGAACTTCACTTGGACGAAGTTTTCTGAGCCCTTCATTTCGGAGGTGCTTTTACAGTGCAATCGCAGACTCACCACATAGAAAGAGTGTCTGTGTTTAGGCGCTGTAAAAGTACCTCTATATGATTATGAACCAACTAGGTCCGAAAGAAGTGGTACTGAAGTTCATTACGGAGTCTCTCTTAATCGTGTGGGCAGGTGGAAGAGTTGGCTGCAAACTGGCTGCTTTGCTCACCGTAGCTTCGCGGTGTACTTATAGCATCTTATCTGTGTTTTTTATTGCTTACCTTTGGTTTTGGGGAACATTTGTTTTTTCGCTGCAGAAGTTATGAAAATGAGGTAGCAGAGGTAATAACAAGCTCAGCCTCTCCACAGCAAGAAAGTTTGAACAGAACAGAACAGATACGTGCCACATTATCGACAGCATTCAGCGTACCAAAACCACTGCCGCGGACCTCTCCTAACAGCTTATTTGCTATCTCTTCAGAGATAGCAAACATGTTGGGGCCGTTGACACCATCGCTGAGAACAATGAACACTTTGATGAGAACATGCATCGTGTTGCTCGAGACAGACTAGAGACGTCAGGCATCAGGCAGAGAAATTTTCAGAGACTCACGTGTGCTATAGCTGCCGTGACGGGGCGATCGAATGGCTCAGCTCTTCGCACTGGCTTATGTTTGCAAAGACGCACAACACTGCCCATTGTATGCCTCGGCTGATGGGCACAATAACTCACGTAGAAAAGGAAAGTAAAGCAGATACACACGGGGGGACGACGGCCTCACTTTTCGATCCGAGGAAAAGCGCGGGCGGCGTGCATTCGGTATCTCGGGTTTACGACACCTGGGTCTGTGTGACGTCAAGTGATCTCGAATCCGTTGTTCCTCAATTATCTTGCTTTGTTTGCCAGCTCCTCTGAGTAGCTAAAGCCCACTTTTACTCGTGCGTACCCCTCTCCTGCCTATGTGTAAACACGATTACGAAATCGGTGGCTCGATCTTCTTCCAAGATCGCATTTCGAGCAAAGCAGTTAGCAGCTTATCGCACCTATCCTTTCCATCTGTACACGCTTCAGATCTTCGCTTGTCTTGAGCGAGTTCAATAGAAAGGCACTCAAAAGACGTATAAATTGGCAAATTAGATGTCTAGAATTCTGTAGAACGTTGCCATTGCCATGCATGAACGCTTAGCGAGCAAGTGATGAAGCGAAATCGAAATATCAGTCACAGCATGCACCCACGTTTTAGGGGCGAAGCTCCTTAGTGTGTGGGTCTGTCCTTCCTCCGTTGTTGTCGTACGTAGCCACCGGTGGCACATACTCGCTCTAGAGCGGGTATGTGCCACAGGGGATGCGAGTTTGGAGATGGCGGTACTTGGAGTGTTCACTAGATGGATGCGCGGACGGACGCATGAACGGACGGACAGACAGACTAGCAGACGGACGGATGGATGGACGCGCGGAGCTGGTATGTGGCACAGCGGATGCGAGATGCGAGATGGCGATACTTGGAGTGTTCACTACATGGACACACGGAGGGACGGACAGATGGATGGACGCGCGGACGTACGGACGGATGAATGCACGAACGGACTGACAGACAGATGAACGGACTCATGGACGGACACACGAACGGACGCATGGACGAACGCATGAACGGATGCGTGGATACTCACGCGGACGGACAAAAGCAAGAACGAAAGGACGGCCGGAAGCACGGACGGGCAGACGGATGCTTCGCCCCACTCATCATCATTCACTCCGTGGATATTCTGTGATTTTTTTGTTCCCCATACTATTCACCTCGTTCTTTTGTTGGGCTATCCTAAAACATCAAGTGGAAACGAGAGGACAGAACACATATTGTTTTGTTCTCATGTTTCAGTGCAGCGCAGCGAAATGGTGGTGTCACGTCACCTAGTCTCAGTCAAATCCTTATTGAATGGAATCCGCTAAACCTTTTCAAGGGAAAGCAACCAAAGTAGTAGAATAGAATGTATGTGTGATAGACTGCTTCACCACTGAACATTTAGTTTAGTTTTTCACTGTACAGATTTTTAAACTATTAATGAATGAATGAATGAATGAATGAATGAATGAATCAATCATCTGTCTTCACAAGTGGCTACCAACGTTCTAGTTTAGTTATTTTTGAAACTTTTTTTGCTGTCACAGGGCACACTAGTACAATAAAGATATTTCATACTAATAAATGGAAAATCAATGAACGAATGAGTGAATGAATGAATGAATGAATGAACGAATGAATGAACGAATGAATGAACGAATGAATGAATGAATGAATGAATGAATGAATGAATGAATGAATGAATGGAATGATTCTGTGGGCGGGAACGAAACCAGTGCAACTCCAATCTCCTCGCTTTGTGCTTGTTCGTGCAGTCACGTGTAGTCGAGGTGAACGACATCGCCGGGGCTCCAAGCAGCAGCTGAGATGGGCCGAGCCCAGCCGTCTTTGTCCCGTATAGAGACGTCCGTGCATCCTAGGAGTTTCATATCGTCGCACTAGTCGGCATCAAAACTCTGTATACCAATGCCACGCTGCACTGCGTTTACTACCAACAAAGCTGCGCCACGCCACAAGCACTTGGGACGTCGTACCTGGCCACCTTCACGGTACGTTAGTTTCTATCTCATTTTAGAGTTTCTGTTACCGTATAAATAAAACTTGATAAAAGTCACGATCGAAATATCACCGGGAAGTGTTCTACTTCAAATACAATCTTCCATATGTTTGTCTCTACGTAAACAAGCATTTTATATTTCTGTCTTTCTTTTCCTTCCGTTTTTCTTTTCTCGGACAGGTATTTATCGTTCGGACGACGTGGGTCAAGGCTGGCCAAGTTCAACGTGGCTACCACCCGTGTGATTGCCTGAAAGACAATGATTAAATATGGTGTTTAGTTCTTGCTATCGAGATCGAGTTCTTTCTCGTGCATGGCTGTTCGCCTCAGCGCAGACGAAAACATAGTGGTGGAGCATAAAGGCTTCTAGCTTTAGCGAGCTATATAGATTGAATCACTTCACGGTTAAATCAACTTTATTTTCAGTACCATATTCTCTCTATCACTTCCTTTTCACAGACACCATAATCAGATTTAACAGAAATAAGCGTGTTTTCGAAAATGAAGTCCCTTCTTGTGTAATATGTTTTTGCTGCTTTGTTATAATGATGTTGGCCTCACAGCCGATATTCCTGAAATTTTGTTGGGTAACCACGTTTTTATTGTGCTAGGATGCACTAGATACCCTACGGACACAGTCCGCAGTAGTACATTTTCTTCATTGCCCGCGAAGATGTGCAACCAACCAGCCCCTATTGCTGCTCTTACCGAAATTTCCAAGGGTTCAAGTCCAATGTGGCTTGTCGGTGTAGACTGACACATAACGGCAATTATTACGCGACAGCGCTTACGCGCAGTTCGTAGATTGTATTCAGGAAAAAGCGATTGCATGCGGCGCGAGATTTCAAAGCGACGTGGGCATTGTTACGCATCTTGAAATCGACGGTCCCTGAGTGATCGATCGCAGGCGTAATGAACAGCCGCACGTGTTCACAATAATAGAACGCCCCTCATCCTTTCTCCTTCCACTCCTTCCTTTGGTTTCACAACACCCTCACTCCTGCATTTCGAATGGAGAACAACACGCACATCTGGCTTAAGTCCCGGGCGTTCCTTCGTCTTCTATCCTTGTTCATCCGAATCGACATGAAGCCTGTTTCCGGCAACCGGCATTGGGCAGCTGAGCAAAAGAAAGCGCAACGCAGAGGCCGTTTTTCTTTGTTACTGTTATACAAGAACGCACACCATGTGGCCGACTGATCTACGAAAGGTTGCGTTCACTCCTATGGGTTCGCACTTATGTCAATTCACCGTTCAAAAGTGCGTTAGTGGCGGGCCTATAGGATGCGATGCGCTAGAAAAACGAAGTAATGCGTCAGAAAAAGTAAGCGCTAGTACTGTTTCGTCTTTTGTGTGTTTTTTCTGTGTTTTTGCGCTATTTTTTCACCATAGTCAATTGTAACATTCATAAACGAACGCCTTTATATTGCGCACACGGAATGGAGACACCAATTTTCTCCGCGACTGTTGAAGCAGTGCTGTGTGGCTTCCCCTTTTCTAGTGGTCACCAATATATGCACATAGCCATTTTTCCATTACAAGCACACGTGCGTACAAACAACCTATAGCAGCTGGACCATAAGCAGTCTTTGTATTCCCCTTCATGTTCTCTCCACCCCCCTCTTTTTTTCGAGAGAGGAGTGGTATATAAAATGTTATTACTAGTGAACACAAAGGTGGCTGTATCTCTCGTACTCCTCAAGGAAGCAGGTATCAGTCCAACCAAAAACGAAAAGAAAAGGCAGGAACAGAATAATAAAAGAATAAAAGCAGAAAGTGGAGGTAGGATAATTAAACTGAAGCATTTTCCAAGCTCTATTCAGCAAGTGGCGAAGCCCTGAGCGCCGCGCTTAGCACTTATGCAATCAGCAAGCTGAAACACCACTCTTGTTCCGCCGCTGATGCGATATAGCGCAGCAGATATCGTGCATTCCCTTCGCTCCACCGTTTTTCAAACCAAGTAGATTCAGCCTCTGTAAGGACGCTCTAGCCCTCAGTGAGCGAGCTGCGCTTGCACTTATAGGATGCATGCGGCAGCACTATAATAGCGACAGCGAAAGCGGAATTAATGTGGCCCAAACCACTCTATGATTGCCGTCGAAATGAACACCATCGTACTGTTACTAGCTTTTAACATTGTGATTGAAAGGTAATATGTAGATACTCATAGTGTTGCCGTCGTCGTTAAGTAAAATATTTCCTTTCCTACTCGCTTATATGGCAGCTCTAAGGAAGCCGGACAGCCGCCCTTTTACAGAAAATACAGAATTTTATGGCACGCGCTCACCAGGACTTCAACGTGAAACACTATGCGGTAAGCACGTAGATGCGTTTTTTTTAAGCAAAGTGAACTGGGTGACACATAGCGACTGCTCACTCAAGCATTTCGACAATGCTATTGCCGTGAATTTACAATATCGTCATCAACTCTACTTAATCTTCATATTTTCACACCCGCTTTCTTTTTTTTCTCTGTCCCTCTCCCACTTTACAAACATATAAATAAGCACACACACACACGCGCGCGCATATATATATACATATATATATATATATATATATATATATATATATATATATATATATATATATATATATATATATATATATATATATATATATATATATATATATATATATATATATATATATCTGTGTGACGCCTGTGCAGTTGAATGAGCTCTCCCAAGTGCGCGCGCGATCCTGCCAACCTCTTGCTTTCTTTCTGCCTCTCTTCTCGGCCCTGTATTCCTCTCTCCCAGTGTAGGGTAGCTAACCTTACGGGCCTCTGGGTAACCCCCTTGCCTTTCGTTTTTCTCTCTCTCTATCTGAATGGAGTTTTGTTTTGAAGAAGCAACTGATCTGTTTTTCATTAGTAGCAAAAGTGACAGCAGATAAGCAGGATCAGTAAGGTCATGCGCAGCACTATACTTCATGATAGAAGAAAAACAGTGAAGATTTGTTTGGACGATGGCGATATTGGGCCTTGAGGACAATAGTGTTGTGACAATAGGCGTGACTTTTACGCCCGCAAGAGTTCACCAGTGCATCGTTTTGTGGTGGCGTGAGAGGCAAAGGGGAGGGGCTATTGTATGGGAAATAAGGAAGGTGTTGTTCCTCTGCGCAGCCAATAACGCAAAAATACGCGAAGGTACCGTCCGTGGAGCCAATAGTGCAAAGGGACTTTAATTTTTCTTTTTATTTCTTTCACACGTAGTACAGCAAAGGAGGAACAACACTGCTATCCATCCCACTCCAACTTCGATCTTTTTAAATGCGAAGCATTTCTTAGTTAACTTCAGCGCTTACATAGACAGGGCAGCGCAAAAAACTAGTGAAAAAGAAGGACAGTAGAGATAGAGCGCTGTGTGCTCTGTCTTCAGCGCTCTGTCTCTACTGTCCTTCTTTTTTCCGAGTTTTCTTGCGCTGCCCTGTCTATGTGAGCACTATGAACCAACTAGCCCAAACCAAAGTACTTCTCGAACTTCAGCGACTTCGATCGCATCTATCTATCTATCTATCTATCTATCTATCTATCTATCTATCTAGCCGCTTACGTTTGGGTGCCCTCGCGGTCACCCCATTTACTTGTCGTGAACCAAAATTAGCATGAGAGGGTAAGATGGTTTGACGAATACGAGACGCTTGTCAAGATATGAATAATGTCACAATCCAGTCGTGTACGTCGTCAAACACTTTCCGTCAGACAGTGGAACATACCCACGGGCGGGTATGTGCCGCTGGTATGTGGGTATGCGCCACAGGTGATTGACACTTGGTATCTGCTCAGGAGTGACGAGAACACACATGGACCATTTTAACGCGCGAGTGTTAAGAAATACCCGACGTCAGTAGCGTTAACCCGACGAGTACCAGCTGGAATCGAACCCAAGCATTCTGGGTGCCAATGAAGCATTTTACCACAGAGCTACGCCCGGTCTCGAAACTACTTTTCAAATAGACGCTAATCTTCGTGAAACGTTAATAGTGGTTTCAGTGCTGCCTACCCAATTTTATAAACGTTACATATGTACTACTTTAATACAGCCTTTACGTCGGATTAACGTCAGATCTGGTTAGTTGCCATGCGCTGAAGCTGATTATTGTAGCAGTGTCAACGGTAAGCACCTTCGCGAGCATCAGCGCTTCTTATCAGCTTCTGGTGTTGCTAATACAAATGTTCCAGTTGGCATCGCTGCGCAAGTGCAAACAACTCGTTATGTAAACATCTGCAGCTCTTCAACATATGTCTGTGTGTGCGGCATTTGTAGATTAGTTTAGCGTCATTTCACGACGTGTCGCCCAATAAAAAAAATTGCAACACGGTCACCGTTCTTCCGTATATGCTTCACATAACGTGGATTCCAAGGCACACGGGATCTGCCGAATTTTTTTCTCTGTTTATTTCATTAGTAACCTACATATTCATAGCTTCAAGAGTACGACAGGCGCTTCAAGGGGAGAGAAACTGAAAGGTAGACCTGGGCGGTGTGACGCCATCCTGCTAAACCGGGCTCTCCAAGTGGTTCACAAATGATGAAATATAGAGTACGAAGCGGAAAAGCCATGGCTAAAGCAGATGCGAGGTATGTCATTCTTGCGAAATGCATGTGTGTGTGCTCTTAACCGCACGCCCACTGCAGCGCAAATGGGTCGATGCTACTGAAAGTGTGCCGCGCACGAGGCTATTCTTACACAACAAACACATTTTGAAGCGCCGTAGTCGCCGCAGGCGTATTTGAACGAGACCGCATCTGCTGGGAGGAGTGAATTATTTGCCGTATCATCGCCTTGACGACCGTACTCGATGGAAAAGGCTAGAAAAAGTCTCTTAGTCCTGCTTATATTTGAACCCTACATCTCGTGTTGGCGTAAGATTGACCGTGCATTAGCATCGAGACTTACGCTCTCGGTATACATTGATTCTACAGAAGCTACGCCAATGTCTTTTTGGCCATCACCTGCTGAAGTGGCACAACTGCATAG